CTATCATTAAGGTGAACAAACTGAAATTGATCAGATAAGATTTAAACCAGTCTAGTGCTGTTCTGTGGTGCAGTGGCACAAGAGCAGGATTGGTTCCGGGGAGCTTTATGGATTCTTCTTCTTTAGCTTTTCGTAGTTAACGGCGCAAAAAGCAATGTTTGATTAGTTTAGACAGAACGTGATGTGAAGAACCAGAGGGATCTTCAAGATGGAACATGGTGGGAAGCCCTGCCATGTCTCTATGTTGGTCTCCAGTCTCTGGGTTACAAACTGGGCCACATCCATCCAGGTAGGTGGCGGCCACCTCCAGCCTGGCCCCTCCATGCCCAGAGAGGGCGGCGTAGCATAGCAGCAACATGGCAACAAGAAGGTCCAGTGGATGAAAATGATCCCCTGAAGATTATTATTTCTCAAAATGAAGTCTTCTCTCTAGGAGCATCTTAAGTTAGGAGTTAGTGACTTCTTCACTGGACGCGTTTCCTCCGATGCTGTCACCTTTGACTAGAGAGGCATCTATAGATGGGGCAATTTCCCTCATCACGCCAAAGGTTGGTGTATCTTTATCAAAATCTTTGGACCCATTTGTTGTTTTTTAACAAAACCTTTGATGGTTCTGCGTCTGTGCTCCAATCTGTGGTCAAACTCTGCAAACTGGGGTAGAGGCTGTCTGAACATCTGCCCTAACCCCCTGACCCTTAAAACCCTAACCCCCTGACCTCTAAACCCTGAACCCTAAAACCCTGACCCCTGACCCCTAACCCCCTGACCTTCCATCACTATAAATAGCAGGGGACTTTATAGGGACTGTTCAGACAGCTGACCACTACTCTATGCTCCCATTGGTCACCCCACGGTGCCTGCGCCATCTTTGTTCTCTCTGCCCCCCCTAAAAATCCCATGATGCTTTGCAAGAAGAGCTCAAGGGAAGCAGTCAGGGCTATATCTGCTCGTCTAGTGACCATGGATGATCACTGCATTGTGGGAAATTTTCCACTACTTTTTTGTCCACTAGATGTTCAGACTCTCATCTAAACTGGTGTCACCCTGTAGTACCTTATGGAGGGGTCAGGGGTTAGGGCGGGCATTCAGCCACTGTCTACAGCTCTGGACCTCAGTCAGTTGGAGGTCTACGTTTCAAACCGTAGAATCCCAACACCCATTAGGGACGGGACAGATCTGATGTCCTTATGGAGGAAACTGGACCTAAAGGTGGCTGTAGTTCTTTATCAGCTGCAGTGTGTTCTGCAGGCTCATCCTGGGTTCATGTTTAAGCATCCTGAAAGCAGAAATGTCTTGTTGAAATGGCAGGAAGGTCTGCAGCCTCAGCAGAGGAACTTTACCTGGGCCTTGTATTGTGTCTCTGCAACAACATGTCCTGCAATCTTCTGAAAATGTGTCCATGTGTCCTCAGGTCAGCGGGATGGTGGTAGCTGCTGGACTTTCCTGTGCCGCTGCAGTCCTCATCTTGGCTTACTGCTCTCTGACCCTGACCTACGGGGAGGAGGATGAAGACGTCTTCCATCACCACCCCAGTGCCAAAGTGGTAACTACCAGGCACCCTCCAGACCACTGGAGTTCCTTAGCCCAACTGGGGGACTTGGAATGTTCCTCAAGTCTCCTGAACAGAGGGGCTCCCAACTCTGTTCCTCAGGAGCCCCCCCGGTTCTCATGCCCCCCCCCTGGTCCTCAGGGACTCTCTTGTCCTCAGGAACCCCCCTTTTCCTCAAGAACCCCCCAGTCCTTGGGAACCCCCCTGGTCCTCAGTGACTCTCGCGTCCTCAGGAATCCCCCTGTTCCTCAGGGACTCTCTGGTCCTCATTAATCCCCCCTGGTCCTCATGGCCCCCCTGTTCGTCAGGGACTCTCTGGTCCTCAGGAAACCCCCTTGTCCTCAAGAACCCCCCAGTCCTCGGGAACCCCCCTGTTCCTCAGGGTCTCTGGTCCTCAAGAACCCCCCAATCCTCGGGAACCTCCCCTGTTGCTCAGGGACTCTGATCCTCATGAACCCCCCCTGGTCCTCATGGTCCCCCTCTTCATCAGGGACTCTCTGGTCCTCAGGAACCCCCTTTGTCCTCAAGAACCCCAGAGTCCTCGGAACCCCCCCTGTTCATCAGGGACTCTCTGGTCCGCAGGAACCCCCCTGTTCCTCAGGAACCTCTCTGGTCCTCAGGTACCCCCCTTTACCCCCGTGTTCGTCAGGGACTCTCTGGTCCTCAGGAACCCCACTTGTTCCTCAGGTCTCTCCTTACTGCAGCCACCTGAGTGATTAAAGGGCTTCTGCAGCTCCTGATGCTGCTGAGGAGCAGTTATGTTCTGGACCAGCTATGCTGGAGCAGAAACATGTCCAGAAGATGAGGGCCAATGGTCCCTGAGGAAGACGATGGAGTGACTACTTTCAGACGTCTGATGCCATGCCGTGCTGTTCTGGTTGTTGGGGGTTCTGCTTGTTTGTGACCATCTGTGTTCTGTCTCTTACCAGACGTTTGTTCTCCATCGGATGGTGAAGGGAGCCAACGCCACAATCATCCTGACCTGCATTCTGGGCCTGGTTCTGTCCTCGCTTATCGGCTATGTGGGCCTCCGCAGCCTCCCCTGCTGTGGCTGCTATGACTCCAGGACTGGACTGGTAAGGAACCCACGGGGCGCTCTGCTTGGGGTTTCTGCAGAGGAGACTGGGAGTTTTTCCTTTAGCTCTTTGCCTCGCCGGGATTAAACCAGTGTTCCCAGTATACATCCACTGCATCCAGCTATCAGCTGGGAAATGGTTCCACCCCGAGCATTAAATCTGGACCCGGCGTGGCTTCGCTGGCTGCCAGGTCACCTGATCAAAGGACAGGTTGGTGTGACGTGGCGGTGCCGTCACGTTTACAAAGCTGAGATCAGATGATGCAGGTCTGCTGATATCTGGTGAACTCTGCTCATGAAGTAATGCCTCCAACTCTAAAGTTCAGCACTGACTCACCCAGTCTGCATAGAACCACAGGCTTCAAAGAACCTTTATAGAGCCAGGGCTGATGGAACCAGCTGGCTCAGTTTTTAATGCTCCAAACCTGAATTGCTTTCCTCTGAGATGTTCTTGTCTGTGTTTCAGGAGGTTCTGGTTCCTCAGAGTGATTCTGGAGACCCGGAGCTGGTGTGTACATGGCAAGGTAAGCATCCCTGCAGGGTTCTGCTTTCAGCACAGAGGTCAAATGCCTTGAAGAGGCTGATGTCGTACATCCATCAGGACACAGAGCAGAGAGTGGGTCTCAGGTTCAGACCATCAAGGCTGGAAGCTCAGCTGTGGACTGGGAGGGTGTAGCCTTTGGCTGTGGACCGGGAGGGCTGTGGACCGGGAGGGCTGTGGACCGGGAGGGC